GCCACAGCGCCTCTTCCGGCTTTTTATCTTATGTGGTGCTAGGGAATCGAACCCAGGGCCTCATGCATGCAAGGCAAGCGCTCTACCACTGAGCCACCTTCCCAGCCCGAGGGCCTTGTTTTGTGGCCTGTAACAGACATATGTTTCGAACTACATTTCCATCACTCCTCTAACTTCAAGTCATGCTATGGGTATAGCCATACATATGAGCCACCGTGTCCCTTTTCCCCAAATGCCCTCAAACCATGTGAAGAGTCCAAGTTGTACAAGAACCAAGGGAGTGGAGAACCTTTTGGACAGTGGGCCGAGGGGTTGGGAAGCTCAGACATGAAGCTTTCTACCAGATCTGTCCAAGTCTCCCCAACCACTTTTAACGTTTGGTGGGTGGATAACAATCTGGCCAAATTATACTCCAGAGCCTTTAAGCCTGTCAGGCCTCTAACTCCTGCGGCCTGAGAGTTAAGGAAAGCACTGAGAATTCCAGTAAGTTCTTAGATAGGTGTCAGCTTTCAAGATTTGTGGGGTTTTTTTTGGGAGGGGGTATCCCTTATGCGTTCATAGCTTTGTAAACAAGCATGCATACAGAGGTGTTATTTCCATGGCTGTTTCTATGACTGATCAGCTCTCCATTAAATGTCTAGCTGGTCTGCTGACTGTCCTGAATTCAGTTCCTCAAGCTGTGAGTCTTTGGTTTCAGCTCCAGACTGTGGCTGCCACCTCTTCCCATGCATGAGCCTCAGGGCAGGTCTTATGGACACACTCATGATGGTGGTCCCAGTAGAGTTGCCGAACAACTATTGGCAGTCCAGGAACCCGTTGTTCTCCAGGGAAGAGGTCTTCAAAAGGGAGGAGGTCTCTGATTGGCCCTTGGGTGCTCAGTTTATGAGGTTGCAGAAGAGAGCTTTAGGACACCATGAGGTACAGGCTATACCAGTTTATTTGTAAAGAAAAGCAAAGGCCAGGCGCTGGTGGCTCACACCTGTAATCCTAGCTCCTCAGGAGGCTGAGATCTGAGGATCGTGATTCAAATCCAGCCCGGGTAGGAAAGTCTGTGAGACTCTTATCTCCAATAAACCACTAGAAAAACCAGAAGTGGCACTGTGGCTCAAGTGGTAGAGTGCTCGCCTTGAGCTGAAGAGCTGAGAAACAGTGCTCAAACCCAGAGTTCCACCCCCATGACTGACCAAAAAAAAAAAAAAAAGAAAGAAAGAAAAGCGAAGGTCAGAAGATAGTATATACAACTCAGCCATGGGATAGGCACAGCTGATAACAGAGGTCACAAATGAGCAAATATCACAGCTATTTATTGTGAAAGAATAGGTTAGAGGGTTGACTCAAAATAAGCACTCCTCTTTAATCTGACACCTGGCACATCAAATCATTCTCATAGCTACAGAGTTTCATCAGTTGGCCCCACAGGTGACTCAAGGTTGTTCAGCTCATAGATATTTGAGCATCCCCAGAAATGAAAGATGGATTCTGCCAGAGGCTGCCTTCAAGATTGGTGTCCACCTTTGAGATGTTTACTTTGCAGAAGAGTTACCTTCCCAAGAGCTTCCTCCCTCCCCACCCCAATCTCCAGAATAAGTCTTCCTTTCATTTCCCTTTTCAGTTCCAGAACAGGAAAAGCAGCTGGGCCAACACAGGAAGTGAGAGGGAAGGAGCTGTTCTTTTGCTCTTCTTACTAAACGGTATAACGTTGACGCAAGTGTAAGGCTTAACTCAAAGAAAATGATGTCTGTGTGCTTTTAATCAAGCAATTTGTTAGCACAGCATTTGTTCCTGAATTCTTTGCTGCTGGTTCCCATGTCTCTTTTCTCTGATCTGTACATATGATGTATTCTCCAATTTTACAATGTACGCTAGGGCTTTTTCAAGAGTGAAATTCTCTGTACTTTTCTTCTCTCCCACTGTTTCTTTCCCTCTTTCTCTCTCTCCCTCTTCTATTTTTAATAGTTGGAAATGAGATTATGTTTTCTTGTTTCAGGCTTGTTCTCTAGAAAAGGGAAGTATTTCACCCCAGTCTGTTTTTTACTGGAAGTTGCCTAATAGTTTTTCTGAGGAAGACGAACCATTGAAGCTCTCATATAAGTGATTATATATATATATATATATATATATATATATATATATATATATATATTTTCTGTTTTTTACTGGAAGTTGCCTAATAGTTTTTCTGGGAAGATGAACCATTGAAGCTCTCATATAAGTGATATATATATATATATATATATATATTAGAAAGTATTCAAATTTACTTGGTAAAATGTTACCATTTCACAGATGCTGTGTTCTCTCTTCCCTACAAGAACAATTTTTAATTTCCCCTTTGTTTTCTACAGAATATTTCAGAATGATATTTCTATATCTTTAGCAGCTATAGTACTTTCAGTACTTACTTAATGAGAAACATGGCTGGTCAGATTAGGTTAATTCCTTTATGATATGGCTGTATCCATTGTTTTTGTTGGTCATGGGGCTTGAACTCTGGGCCTGGGCGCTGTCCCTCAGCTCTTCAGCTCAAGGTGAGCGCTCTACCACTTGAGCCACAGCGCTACTTCCATGGCTGTATCCATGTTTTAATGATGAAAACTTTGCACGTTCTCTTTTAACATCATTGGCAGGAATGGAGCATCATTTTCCACATGCCTAATTTCCATCCATCCTTTCCCTCCTCTCATTATGTGTTTCTTAGGTGTTGTTTTCCCTTTTTTGTTGTTTTATTCTCCCCATGGTCCCCCATAGTAGTATGATTATATTTTTATTTTTTAGTTTTGAGCTATCTTCCAGTATTTCAGTGATTACTCCCATTGATTGATTATTGAATCAATTACTCCCATTATTTGTTTTGAATATGATACTTACAAACATCTCAAGAGAACAAATAATAAGGAACAAGCAAATCCTTTAACCTGAGTTATTTTAAGACCCAGGGTCCTTTTAAATGAGAAAAGTACTCCGTTCAATTAATGTGATGTGAAATACATAACCAAACACATTAACAATCTCGTTTAATTTGCAGGCCCTTCAGTCTACTTTCAGTTTAATAACCTTGTGCCTTAGTGGACATAGAGATTAGAGTTCCAGTATCCATCAGACCATTTCTCAACTTCAATTTTAATAAACCAGTGTCATTAGATTTGCTAGAAAGAAATTAGCTAATATGAGCTAATTGCATCACAATCCCAAATGCTATATGGATATGTGGAGATTGGCTCAACACTCGGATCCTTGCATACTCACGAGACAAATTAGATTATAATTGACTTGATAGTTACCAGTGATTGCAACAAAAATATAAGAAAATAATACCAGATGAAGACCTTGTCACCTCTTTATCCTGGACTTTTGAAGTATATAATTAATGCAGCATTAATAGAAATAGTAGAACTAAGTAATAGAAAATTTAAAAACCTAATAGAATAAAAAAAAACCTCACAAGTATTAGAAGTGCTGTTTTATCAGAGGTAACTTGCATGGTGGTTTTGAGTAGTTATTTTTGCTGTTGTTCTATTTTTACCTAAATTTGGGGTATGTGTTCTAATTACATCATTAGTGTCTCCTCCCTGGTCTTAAAGTCTCTGTTCGCTTTACAGACCTTGATTGCTTTCTTCATTCACATTTCAGAACTTTGCAAGAGCTCCATCACATCTTTACCATGACAAAATGGCTCTAGATCCCCTTTCTCTATAGCCCAATCCTCTGATGTCATCCCTGTCCTCTTAGAGCTAATTTTTTCTCTTTTTGTGTTTCTCTGCATTCTTTGTCAATGCCCTCTTTCAGCCCTGTTGGTATTTCTTCCGTAAAGGAGCCAGGCTCTTGACCTCTCTGATCCTCCGATCACATTCCTTTACTATTTCTCATGTCTTGAGGAATAGATATGTGACTTAGAGTTTCAGAAATCTGTGTTCACACAGACATAGCAGTTTCCCTCTGTTTGTTTTAAGTGTCCCTGCTATACAAAACCCTCTCTTCAGAGAAAGCAAAGGAAATGGCCATTCATAAAGGAACCCACAGTATTGACAACAAACACAAACTGGATGTGTCATTACTTAGAAACACTCAACAGCTGTGGCCAACTCGGCAAACACACCACATACATTGGACATTGAATAGCCACAGATCAGAGCTATGGCCATGATATTTAAAAAATTTTGCAATTGTAATGATTATATGCTGTACTTTTTTTAAACAATTTGAAATTATTTGTAAAATGTTTCAGTGGAATTTTAAGTTGGAGGCCATAGGGTCAAGAAACAAAATGTAGTGCCTGAAATGGAAAAGGTCTTAAAATTATATACAAAAATGATTTTATATCTTTACCTACTTGGTAATTTGACCAGTTACCACATTTATGTGGTTTCAGAGATCAAGTGAAAAACAGCCAGAGGAAGATCAGTTATCTTCCAGGCCTCTCTAATGCCTAGGTTTAAAAATACAATGGAAATTGGTTTAAAGGAGTGGAAAAAAAACCCCAGTCAGTTCCTCATGAGAAATTTTGGTTTTCAGCCTCTGTTTCAATCATAGTGGTTACTCAGGGATGTGTTAAACATGATGATTTCAATACTGGATCTTATGATAAATGATGTTTCATACTTTTAGCCATAGGTGAGACCCCAAAATATATTCAAAAGTTAACTCCTATCAATCTATCATTTTTCCTCCCCACTCATTCTCCTCTTCAAGAATCCAATGTGTAGCCTACAAAATTAAGAAGAGTGAAGGAAGGTGTGGTGGAGAAGGGATGGGTGAGAATGTTGAAAGGGACCACACTGATCAAGATATAGTGTATCCGGAAATGGCTTTGTTAAATGGCAAGGTTGTACAACTACTTAAAGATATCTGAAAAGCTTAAAAAAATATGAAGTGAGAAAAGACGCCATCTTTTTAGAGTGAATATATGGACTTTTCAGACTAGGTTAGAAGAGTGTCTTTTCAGATTTTCATTAAGATTACTTCAATCAAAATTGTTGAGCACACTCAGAATCTTAGCCGTATAAAAGTAAATATATTTTATTCAGCAGTATACAGAAATTAGGGCCCAAATGTCCTGCACAAGCGCTAGAGGCTGGGATGGTCATTTCCTTCTACGTACACTCCCTCCACGGCCCAGCCCTTATTCCTCCACTGTACCCCATGAAGAATCATCACCATATTTATGAAATACTTTCCGAATATAAGCCATTGATACTATAAAAATAAATGTCTGCAAAAATAAAAGTAGCCACAGGCTTATTCCCAAACACAGAGCATTTGTGGCTTAAGGCTCTTCCTGGGGGAGGAGCTTCCACTTCACCGAGAGGTCCAGTTCCTCATCAAAACCATCCAGCTCCTGTTCCTTGGAAAGCTCTAGAAAGACCTGAAAGGGATGAATGAGGAAAAGATGTCACATGGCCCCCTGTAGCTCCTAGTGAATGGAGAGTAGGCATGGACTCCATGCTTAGATTTTTATGGATGGTACAAAATCACTAGAAAGTGCTCACCTGCTCCAGGGTGGACTGTGATAGACTGTAATCCTCCAGATCAAAGTTCTGTTTAACTGCGAGAAGATGAAACGGTGTTAGGAGTTTCTATATTTTTTATATATAAACCACTCAGGAAAGGATGGAAGTAGCACTGTGGGTCAATTGCTAGAGCACTGGCTTGAGCAAAAGAAGCTCAGAGACAGTGCCCAGGCCCCCAGTTCAAGCCCCAGGACCAGCACACACACACACACACACACACACACACACACACACACACACAGAAGTACTTGTGAGGTAGGTTTTATAGAGAGTAAATATCTAGGGCCTCTCTAAAAGCCATCACAACTTCTCCTAATGGGATTAAACATCCTTTCCTGTTGGCCTAAATAAACTTGGAATGATATAGCTGGAGTTAGGATGAGGACCCAACAGATTGGAAATATGCTACCCAAAGTCCTCGGCTAGTGTAATTTTGGCATGAAACTCCAGGGGATGACCACATGGCTCAGAAAGGTGGAGTGTTCAGCTCAGAAGAGTGAAGTTGTGTTATGGTGACCCTGGGTGACCAGGGGTCAGAGGGGCATTCTAGAACCAGATCTCATTCTCTTCTTTAGGGCAAGTAACAATCAAGCAAAAACATCACTGAGCCGAGACAAACAGAATGAGGAGGCATTCTGAAAAGCACCATTCAAAGCCACCAGTCCAATGGGATAACACAGGAACAGGCAATAACGGGGCCATGGTCATTTTACAGAAGAACAGAGCCAGCAAGATTGCTTTGATGGCCAGATGGGAGCTGGGTTCTTTACAAACTGACCAGGCGACCTAACAAGATGGCAGTCCTTAGACAATTTAATTTTAAGTATGTTTGCATCGATGCTTCAAATGAAAGCATTCTCTATGAAGGCAAGGATAATTAAGTTTTGACCTAGGTTATACCAATATACAGATATATGCAAAATACATGAATAATAACATATAAAACAAAAGTAAAAATCATTCCCATGAGCCCCTGTGACACACAAACACAGGCTCCCTTCATCTCTTCTAGCTCTGGTACGCCTAAAATGCAAGTTAGGATTGTAACTCTTAAATTTAAGGCATTCTGTCACATTTCACTTTTACTGTGCAGATAGGTAAGTTTTGTGATTTGGGATTTTTTCTCTTCCAGGATCTTATTCCAAAGACATAGTGCTTACCCTTTTCTAACTTGAAGAAAGCTTGGGCTAAAGGCCGCACATCTTCTACTGGCAACTTATAAACCATCAGAGAAGAGTATCTGGGAGGAAAGGAGAGAAGAGGAGAGGAGGGAACAGAGGAGAAGAGAGGGACATCCAGGGAGAATTATGATTGTATAAAGTTCAAATTATTAATACATTTTTGAAACAAAACGATTAGATTTATATGCTGGTCCAGCCAGCTACTTGTTAATTTGATAATGCTAACTAACTTGCCTCTCTGTCCATTTCTTCTTGTTTTTTTTGAATGTTATTGATATTACTAATTATTACAAGAATTACTTCCCAACAACGTTAATCACAGGTGGATTGAAAGAATATTGGGGCACTGCAGCCATCTCATTTACATAAATATGCCACATTGTAAGTCTACTAGAGAGCCCAAAGGATTTGCCTTTGTGGAGTTTGAAACAAAGGAACAGGCAGCAAAAGATAGCGAAGTGGGCCCAGGGTCTGGCCTGAGAAGGCTCGTCAAAGTGTAGCTCTCTTCTCGAAAAGTCTCCACTTCTTTTCTATAAAGAAAACTATCAATTCATTTACCAAGGTCTTTCTATAAGGCCAAACTCCTTCAAAACTTTTTAAAAACTTATGTTTCTTTAGAATGACAGCATCTACTTTGAAACATCTCTAGGTGTATAACACGTGATCTGTAAACTGGAACCCCAGCTCCCTCATCTCCAGTTTTTCTTCTACTAGCCAAGGAACGATCTTTCTTTGCTTCCTTCTCGAATGGCCACAAGTCAAGGTAACTCATACACAGTACCAGATCCAAGCCAGGAAGAAGCTTTACCGGTCTTGGCGAGCAGCCTGGGGGAAAAGCTTCAGGATTTCCTCATGGAGGGGTTCACCCTGTGCGGGGGTCTTCACCTTCATCTCCAGCAGGTAGTCTTTGCCAAATTTGCTTTTTAGGTGCTGGATGGAACCAATACACCTGGAATTGGGAAGGAGGACAGGGTCATGCGGCAAGGAGAAAGCCACCTAGGACAATGCTCGAGATCGTTGGTGTGCATGGTCTCAAAGCCTTTCCTGCTATGAAACCCACGTGCAGCCATTCTGGCAGTTCGCAGTGATCTCTTCCTGTCCACAGGCAATGATGTCTCCTTCCCATACCCCTTGGAGGCCACGTGTGGCCTCGGGGCCAGACGCTCACCTCAGCCTTCCAGACACCATGATGGCGACACGATCACACACAGCCTCGGCCTCCGCCATGTAATGGGTGGTCAGGAGGGCGGCCCCCTCTGTGTTTCGAACGGTGGCTCGGATCGCCTGCCTGCGTTGCCAAGAGAGGATTTGGAAATGAGAAGATCTTTTTAAAATTATCCTTAAGTACTTGTACAAAGGAGTTGGCTGTTTCACAAAGCGGTTTATGGATCTATCTTGACCAATGTCACCCCCCTAGCCCTCCCTTACTTGCCCCTTCCCTTCCTCCTCCTCCTCCTCCTCCTCCTCCTCCTTCTCCTTCTCTTTCTCTCCTCCTCCCTTACTTGCCCCTTCCCTTCCTTCTCCTCCTCCTCCTCCTTCTCCTCCTCTCCTTCTTTTCTTCTCCTTCTCCTTCTCCTTCTCCTTCTCCTTCTCCTTCTTCTTCTCCTTCTCCTTCTCCTTCTCCTTCTCCTTCTCCTTCTCCTTCTCCTTCTTTTGTTGGTTGTGGGGCCCGATCTCTGGGCCTGGGCGCCTCAGCTCTTTAGCTTAAGGCTAGCACTCTACCACTTGAGCCACAGCGCCACTTCTGGCTTTTTTTTCGGCTTATGTGGTGCTGAGGAATCAAACCTAGGGCCTCATGCATGCGAGGCAAGCGCTCTACCACTGAGCCACCTTCCCAGCCCCCTTACTCTTCTTGATTCTGTACCCCTCTTCATTTTCCCACCCCTGACCCTTTGCTAAACTGGAAAGGAATGGAGCAAAGAATGCTTTACGGACACTAGTGTGACAATGAAGAGGCCAGGTCCAGGAGGACTCATAAGAGGACAGGGGGAGCGAGGAAGGGAACTGCCAGGAAGGAGCTGTTTCTCTGGAGACAGGCACTGAGGAGGTGCTTACAGAATACAGTATTTACTACAAGCTTGCATTGACGGAGAAACACTGGGGAAAGAGGATTGCACATGAAAAGACAATGCAGAAGGAAACATACGGTGCCAAACTCAGCCACAGTAAGAAGAAAATGAGTGCAGAAGAAAAAGACCGCAATGATAGCCATTTTCACAACGAATAGGAATGGCTCCTGTGCCACGTTCTGGACACTACGTGGCTATGGGGTCCCTCATCAGCCTTGATCAATGATGCTGCTCAGAGAGAGAGAGTACCTTCCATCTGTAGCAGTGATTCTAATTCCTCCCGTGAAACATATGGTTATAAAATATTATCAGGGAAAGGTGTCATTTATTTTGTGCTAAGTATGTGTTTACTATTGATATTTAATTTTGTTTACCATATTAAGAAATAGATTTAAGGGATCTTTTTTTTTGGGGGGGGGGAGGGTTGGTCGTGGGGCTTGAACTCTGGGCCTGGGCACTGTTCCTGCTCTCTTCAGCTCAAGGCAAGCGCTCTACCACTTGAGCCACAGGGCCATTTCCAGTTTTCTGGTGGTTTATTGGAGATAAGAGTCTCATGGACTTTCCTGCCTGGGCTGGCTTTGAACCATGATCCTGAGATCTCAGCCTCCTGAGTAGCTAGGATGACAGGCATGAGCCGCCAGTGCCCCACACAGGATCATTTTTATGTGAGTGAAACAGCTCTCAACCTCACTGCCAGGCCCCTGCACTGGCTCTGAAGATAGAAAATGTGCCTCACCACATTTGCTGCTGCCCCTCGGGGTCCATGCCTGTCGATGGCTCATCCAGAAGCAGCACCGACGGGTTTCCCAGGATGCTCAGCGCAAAGCACAGCTGGAAAGAGAGGCATCACCCAACAGGTCTGTGGGGTGCTCAGAGCATCCCGAAGTCCTATCCACTCTCTCTGTCTCTTTTGCCAGTCCTGGGGCTTGAACTCAGGGCCTGAGCATTGTCCCTGAGCTCCTTTTGCTCAAGACTAGCACTCTGCCACTCGAGCCACAGCGTTTTCTGTGTATGTTGTACTGAGGAATTGAACCCAGGGCTTCATGCATGCAAGGCAAGCACTCTACCACTAAGCCACCTTCCCAGCTGCATACCTTTCTCTTCACTCCCTCTGCTAAGGTCTTCACGGGGGCCTTCAGGTGGTCCTGCAGCTTGAGCGCGTCCACCAGCCTGGGGGAAAAGCAGCCCGGGCTCACAGTGAGCTAGACAGGCAGAGAGCTGATGGAGGACAGGACGGCAAGGGCAGGCACAGGGGAGGAGAGCTCTGACATGCAGTTTTGGAAATCCTGGCTTAGTGATTGGGAGGACGGGTGCTACCGCATTCTGGTTTGAGGCCTCTGAAAATATACTGCCATCAGTTGAAAGACTGTAGGCACATACCACGAGATCCAGACAGTTGTTGTTCTATGATCATTTATCTTTCAGTTATTTCAACAAATCTACCATCAATGCCATTTTCTTTCCATGTTTCATTTGAGGACTTTTTTTTTTTTTTTGGTTGGAACTGGGGCTTGAACTCTGGGGTTGGGTGCGTCCCTGAGTTCTTCAGCTCAAGGCTAGCGCTCTACCGCCATAGCACCACTTCTGGGTTTCTGGTGGTTTATTAGAGATAAGAGTCTCATGGACTTTCCTGCCTGGGCTGGCTTGAACCGTGATCCTCAGATCTCAGCCTCCTGAGTAGCTAGGATGACAGGCCTGAGCCACCAGCTCCAGGCCTTGAGGACATTTTTAACACTTTGAAACCATTTCCTATATATTTCCGAGTGTGGGTCGGCATTCAGTGCCTTCCATCCTGAACTTCCTGTGCGACCTCTGCCCGCCCCCTGGATAGAGAACAGAACAGGTGCAGTACCGTGTGATGGTGACTTCCTTGTCACCTTTGCTCAGTCCCTTCACAGCTGCAAACACCTCCAGGTGTTCCCTCACTGTCAGGCTGGGCCACAGCACATCCTCCTGCGGGCAGTACCCCAGGAACCCCAGCGGGTCCCCTTCGCTGCTCCCTTTCAGCAGCACCTGTGGGTAGAAGTCACCGTCAGAGCCCACATTCTTCAGTGCTTCTCTGAGGACCTCCATGGCCACCGCCTCTTCAAAAGCTTCGACACATGGAGAGGAGATCCAGAACCTAATGGAACTTAATCATCTGTAATGAATTTGTTTGCTTTAGGGAACAGTCACTAGGAGTCAATACAAGTAAACAATTATGTGCACAACTATAGCGGATTCTGAGTGGCACGCTGCCATCTTGGCCCCCAGTTCATCGCCAGTGTTGGCATCACAATCAGAATGAAGCACATTCACTCAGTGACTCACTATTCAACTTCAGTCATTGATCAAATGTTCCTCAGTAGTTTCTACCTGACAAATTTTGTGCTCCCTGTTGATCCAATGGAGGATGGAATGGCTGATGTTTGCTGATTTTTGATGAGTGAAGCAGGAAATGATTAAGTAGAAGGAGTGAACGTGGGTCTGAAGTGGGGCTTGTGGAAATCATGGAGCTGAGGTGAACAATAATGCAAATGTGGTTTTGATGATTAGAAAGCCTATCTGCTCCGAGGCCATTTCAACAGAGGAGGAAAAGGTGCAGGTATGGATGAGGCAGAGGCTAGAGATCTGGGGCAAAGAGAAAGAACAAAGCCCAGTGCAGGGTGGAACATCTTCTCCCCAACTAGTGTGTTTTCATAGAGCTCTGCACTTGAGTCACTGAGCGTCTTGTGAAAGTCAGGGAGTATAAGTGTTTACTATTTTTCTGTTCTGTTTAAACTTCTACTCAAGATCCACACAGAACAAACTGGGAGCACAATGTGCTTTACTTAGACTTCTTGATAAGGCTTGTGTAGATTCTGGTGATACTTGTTGATGCTTATGAAGACTTCAATAAATTACTCCTTTTAGGGTTTAATTTTTGTGTGTCTTTGGTAATAATGTTGGCACTTATTCTTCGGAGTACTGGATTTATTATTTCCATTATTTAATGACTGCATGATGCCTTGTTTTATAAAAATTATAACACCAGTCAGTGCCTAGTGGCTCACACCTTTAATCCTAGCTATTGAGGAGGCTGAGATCTGAGTAACCACCAAAAAGCTGCAAGTGGAGCTGTGGTTGAAGTGGTAGAACACTAGAACAGAGCAACAAAGTTCAGGGACAGTGCCAAGATTTTGAGTTTAAGCCCCAGGACCAGCATACACACACACACACACACACACACACACACACACACACACACACACACACACACACACACACACACACACACACACAGAGTTATAGTATCTTATAAATTTATTTTGAACACAACTGGATAGTATATCTTGCATTCTCTTCACCTACCTGGCCAGCAGTTGGCTTCATGTCCCCAGTTATCACCTTGATGGATGTGCTTTTACCAGCCCCATTGTGTCCTAACAACCCTAAAATCTCACCTGAAAACAAACAAACAAAAAGTTACACTGAACATGAAGGAATTTGAATAGTACAATTAAGAATAAGAGTCTGGCTGGGCACCAGTGGCTTATGCCTGTAATCCTAGCTACTAAGGAAGTTGAGATCTGAGGATCATGGTTCAAAGCCAGCCCGGGCAGGAAAGACCGTGAGACTCTTATCTCCAGTAAGCCACCAGAAAACCAGAAGTGGTGCTGTGGCTCAAGTGGTAGGGCACTTGCCTTGAGCTGAAGAGCTGAGGGTCAGTGCCCAGGCCCAGAGTTCAAGCCCCATGACAGACCAAAAAAAAAGAATAAGAGTCTGAAGGCTTACAATGTCCTAGCTATTTTTTCAATATAGTGTCTTATTTAATCTTTACAGCTGTCCTGAGAAGTTATCACATTCTATTTTGACATAGTTAGGGACAAATCTCTCAAGAATCAAATTCACGTGGATAGAAAATGACAAAGCCAGCCATTCCTGTCTGCCAGGAGTGTCACATTCTGTCCCCTGTAGTCCTAACCCCTATGCAACAATGACAGAAACTGAAATCATCTAACACTTGCTGGCCTAGCCTTTAGTACAGGCTGCCAAATGTCTAGCCAGTTCTCATGAGAACAACACAATGTTCGATATTGGATTATGTTCTTTTGATTGTAAGGTCATGATGTCAATGGTTCATTCTAATAGCTCGTGTTTTCTGTGTGGGTGTGACTGTTTCCCTATTCATGAGGTGAGTCAATCAACTTGACTTAGTGATGAGACTTAAAAGAAGCACTAAGGCCTCCCTGCTGTTGGGGTCTGCCTGGGAGCCAAGAGGGTCTCCTCAGAAGCCAGCAAGCCAATGTAGCCAAGCCTGTGCCCAACCTTTCCGAACACAGAAGGAGATGTTTCTGGTGGCTATCTTGTTTTTCCTCTTGGAAAAGCAATGCTTCCTCTTCCTGGCATATTCCTTGCGTAGACAGCTGGCAATAATGACTGGTGTCTGTAAAGGACAAATAAATCGTGTCAGATCTTTATGTGCTCCACCAACTTTGACAAAGCTCTGTCTTTTATGGGTGTGGTACCCTTTCCTGTCCAGCACAGATACTAAAGAAGTATTTCTCCTGAGGTCTTATGCTGACTGGTCATTCTCATAAACTAGCACTTGTTTTAGGAAAGAAGATACCAACATTCTGTTTTCTAACCATGATAGGAACACATAATTTTGTAGGAGCTAACACAGAGCAGAGCAGAGCAGGATCAAAGAGATTTAGAAAAGTATTAGATCATCCTTAAAGGGAAAAAAACCCCACAACAGTGCACTGTGAAATGGACTGTACTCTGATTTTAAGCCAGGTGCTTTCTCCAAAAGGCACCTGACTCAGTTTCTGGAATTCTATTCTGGCTTTTGTAATTTCATCTGTACCCACCTTCCTTCCTTCCTACCCTCCTTCCTTCCTTTCTTCCTTCCTGCCTTCTTTCTTTCTCTCTTTTCTTTCCTTCCTTCCTTCCTT